GGCCGGCATGGATCATTCGAAGATGGACCACTCGAAGATGAACCACATGGCGATGGCCTCCGGCGATTCGTCGGGCCTCGTCCATGTGCCGCCGGTCGATGCGCCGTCGGGGTCCAAGGTTTTGTCCTACACCGACCTCAAGCGTGCCGATCGCGCCTACCGGCTCAATCCGCCCGATCGCACGATCGACATCAGACTCACCGGCAACATGGAGAAGTTCTTCTGGTCGTTCGACGACAGGAAGTATTCCGAGGAGCCGGTGATGAACTTCATCCAGGGCGAGACGGTGCGGTTGGTCTTCCGGAACGAGACCATGATGAACCATCCCATCCATCTTCATGGGCTCTGGATGGACGTGGAGAACGGCGCCGGCGATGAGCGGCCGCGCAAGCATGTGGTGATCGTGCCGCCCGGCCGTACGGTGAGCGTCACCGTGCACATGACGGAGGAAGGCCGGTGGCCGTTCCACTGTCATCTCCTCTACCACATGATGACCGGCATGTTCCGCGAGTTCGTGGTGTCCGCGAAAGGCACCCCGCTGCCTGAGGCATCGCCGGCCCCGACGAAGGGAGGCGGTCATGCGCACCACTGACCTGCTGACGGCGGCCGCGCTCCTGATGGCCCTGGCGTCATCCGCCCTCGCCATGGACGACCAGGAGACATTCTGGCGTGTCGACGCTCGCGCCGAGAAGCGCATTTCCTCGATCGCGCCCGCGACCGAGTGGGCGGCGTCGGCCTGGATCGGCGAGGATCGCAACAAGCTCCGGCTGGCGAATGCCGGCATCGTCGGAGACAACGGCCATATCGACAACGAGGGCGGCACCAAGGGCATCGACAGCCGCTTCTTCTACAGCCGGCTGGTCTCGGACTTCTGGGACGCCAAGGCCGGTGTGCAGTTCACTGTGTTCGACCAGGGCGTCACCCGCTCGGGCTTCCTCGCGGGCGTCGAGGGGCTGGCGCCCTACGGGATCCATGTCGACTTGGTGGCGGGTGTCAGCCAGACGGGCGGTGCTGAGTGCGCGGCTCGAGGCTTACCT